CCCAAAACCCCAAAACCCCAAAACCCCAAAACCCCTGATCGTTAAATTATAATTGACTTCAAATTTAATTTTTCTAATAAAACTTATTATTTATGATTGGGCTGCACTGTTTGTAACCTGAGCATTGAACTGGTCAGCATTAAGTTAGACCTGATAGTTTGGTTGATGAAACAGGCATTGCCCAATGTATAGCCTTTAGTTCAGTGTTGGTCTTAGAATGTTGTCGAAGCCGTAAGCACTTGCTCGCTCATTCAGAGGATTGACCATCAAGAAGTTCGAAGAATCACTCGTTCCACTGATACATGACTCTTCAGCAGGCACAGAAATGCAATCTTGGTCTTGTATCGCATGTTGTTTGATATTCTTAGGATTTATAGAAGCACCTGCTTCGTTTATCACGCTGATGGAGCCCAGACTCTGAAGACTCGTATCGGCGACCTTGAGAGTTTGGTTATTTACCGATGACGATATCTTTGATGGCGATGACTCTGTTCACGAGATTGGGGACTCTGTGATGTTCTTTCCTGAAGTCAAGTCTTGAAGATTTGTCACTAGACTGTTTCCTACTTCCTGGTCTCACTGTTTCAGATTTAGCTTGCTTGTTGTCTATAGCTGAGCTCGGTCTGCCACCGTGCAGCCTTCTTTGCTGATGTTTCTGGTAGAACTTTGAAGCGTCAGTTTTAGAGTTCCTTCTGGAGTGCTTCTGCTTTAAGTGAATAATGCTCAGTTTGTTGACACTTTTGGCTTGGCTTCGAGCTGAGTCTGTTCTTAAGCCAACAGGCTCTGGGCGTTTGTGTTTTGTAAAAGGTTCGGAGTCAGACAAGAAATTGGCTTTATCATTAATGCTTGGGTTGGAGTTCTTGGTTGCTATGAGGTTAACAGTATTACAACTCACCACAGAAGTTATTAGTTACTCCGTTACCAGTATTCTGAGTGGTGATTGGGTTTCTGTAATGTTTACTTTGAGGTTTGGGTTGAATAATATTTAGCTGCTCTCTTGGAGAAGGAATAATACTATTATAATTTTCAAACTTTTTCTTCTGGTCTTTAGATGCAATATCTGACGAAGTACTATCAGGATTTCTATCAGCAGTTGTCTCAATTGCTAAAATTTAAAAATAAAATTTTACTGTTTCGTGAATTGGGAGTACTTGAAGAATATCAGATATTAGCTAAATGATTTTGATTTTCTCTCTTTAACAGTTCATCTTTCTCAACTTCAACTTTCAAATCACTTTGGATGGGACAGTTAGTTAGCTTATCTATTAAATCTCTATTCATAATTCATTCTAGACTAGATTTTGATTTTTTAGAAATTAGTTGAGTAAATTCTTCATAAGTTCTACCATTCTCTTGATATTCATCATTAAGATGACAATCTAAGGGTTGATCCTTCTATATAGATGTCATCCATCCCTTACCTTTGCTACTTTCTCCTTGGAAAAATCTGAGTGGGGTACACTTGAGGGCACAATAGCAATATCATCAATCTTTTGATTTTTACTGGCTTTACAGAACAATTAAATGAAATTTTCATAAATTTTTGAAAATGTAAATGCTTATTTCTCCAGAAATTCTCGAAAATGCTGATTTAAAAATTCTACTATCCTAATCCGCCTCAAGAACGCCCAAGAGGTGAAAGGAGCTTACCTTTCTGGCTCTCTTTATTGTCTAGATCAATAGGCGATTTATCTCCATTGTTTAAGTGAAGTTTTCTGTTCATAATTTCATCGAGATTCATACACTTCTCAGAACCTGTCATTTCTTTGTATTCCCTGACCGACTTATTTGGAATGTTTTTCTTATTGTGTAATAAGTTCACCGGGATATTTTCTTGATCAGTATTGTCCCTTATTATAGCTTGACCAAATGATGTCTTCTTCGAGCATAGAGGTTTCTCTTTATTAATTCTTTCTCTCTGGGCTTCTTTAGAGGCATGCTTTGATGACTTCCGACCTTTGTTGCTTCTACTACGGGATCTTCTTGAAGAAGAACTTCAGAGAGGTTTGGCGTTACCTTCTTTGGTAGAAATTTCACAATATGAACATGTATTTCTAGCTGTTCCTCCTCTCATTAATGTAAATATATAAACAGTCCGTTGAGTATTTCCCTGGCTTAATAAGGAGTTTTTAGAGTGAATATTAGTATAACCTTCAGAGGATCCTGATAAAGTACTCTCAACTTTGTAGGTACTATTGATGCTAATTTTATCACAATTCGAATTCATTAATTTTGAATATTTCTGTACACATTTTGCTCAAAGTCCCTTCCCAGTGGCCATCTTATCAGATAATTTGGATTTGACTTTCTTGAGCAATTCCTTGCTCAGAGTGTTAGGGGAGGGATACTTACCACCTGAGATCCAAAATGCAATTACATTAGTTTGTTCAGTTTTAATCTCACTTTTGTAAGCTGGAATAATTCTACCCTTCCTATTGAGTAGGAGGTAGCCTCTCTCTAGTCTTTCTTTATCATCTTTAAGCTCATGTTTTTCAAGAAAAGTAAAAAGAGAAGAGCGGGACTTGCTTAAATTTGAAGATTGTAAGTTCTTCTTCAATTCATTTTTGCATATCCAGAATGCCGTCATTTGAATATTTCTTAATATTTCCTCTCGCTCGGGTGACCTCATATTGGACTCCTCTTCCCCAACGATGGTAGATGATTTTTGAGTTCTCTGATAGGATCTCTCATTTTTAAGCTGTTTAGAGGTCTTTCTCCCTTTCATTGATTCAGTGTAAGTCTTTATCTTTGTTGCTGGGCTAACGGATACATTTGAACGCATAGTTGAATAGCCTTTGGTGCCAAATCCACCAACTCTTTGCTTTAGTTTATGCTCTTTAAATCTTGTACTTTTCCTACTCTCAACACTGATCTCCTTTGAATAATTTTCGGTGGAAACCCTTGAGACTGACTTCTTCTTACTGGTAAAGCTACTTTTTGAGCTGATAGGCTTCTTTGTCTGAATATTATTCTGACTCTGCCTTCTTTTGGAGGATCAATTTTGATATGAAAAATTCTTTCCCTGAGTCTTAGTCAGTCTTCATTTCTGAATCTTCGAGGCTCCTTGGATGCTATTCTTTCTAGACGAGTGGTTGGTACGGCTCATTTGGCTAGTATTCTTCCTCTTTTTAAATTGTTTAAAAATAGCCTCCATAGGCTCGGCTTTCTCAATCTTTTCATGCTGATCATGTACAGATTTGTTGTAAAGTTTAACATTTTTAAGAATTTCTCTGCTAACTGTCGGATTCTCAGCAAAAATTTTGGACTTATTTTAACTTCAGAAGGTCAGAATTACTCTGAGACCCTCTAAATTCCTTTCTGTTGCTTTGGTTTGAGCTCAGATTTTCTTTAAATCTCCTATGATTGCTATAACCTTCCATAATTTAAATTTTCAAATATTTCTTAATCAAGAGGGGTTTTGGGGTTTTGGGGTTTTGGGGTTTTGGGGTTTTGGGG